CATCCAACTGTAGGGCATAAAAGGGACTCTATCGAATGTTTTTAACCAACTTCTGAGTTATGTCATCTGCCATTTCATTTATTCTTCTCTCAACTGTATTATCTGAAAGTGAAATCAGATTTAACTGCTTGCGGGCCTTTTCTCCACACATCACGCCAACCATTTCTTTCGTGGCAGGTAAAATCAAATTTTCACCAATTGTGTGAGGTTTTCCAGCCTTTGCGATGAGCTTTGCTACACGATAAGATGCCTCCACTGCTTTAATGTTGTCGTTGCCAGAGAACGCAGTTTCAATAGTTTTTTTCAGTTTGTTCTTTCAGTTTGTTCTCAAAAAACTCAATAGGCTTGGACACATATTCACTGTGTTTAGTCTCCAAGTGCCGTCGTAGTTTGCTCGGTTTCAAAGCTTCATTTGATAAGACTTCTGAGCAAACAATGCAGAGCGGTAGCTGCTTGTTCTCCGCTCCCACACACGTGAAGCCTCGCGCTAGATAGTCACTACTGTATTTTCTTTTAGATTTATTTAGAGTCTTTTCAGTGTCAGGCTTACTTGTAGATGGAGAAACATCTGCATTTGTTCTTTTCAGCGACCCTGTTGACAGCCATTTATCCATGTTTGAATCTGTTGTTCTGTAGCATATGCAGCAAAAATATTTTAGAATTGGCGGTTTATTCTTAAACCAATCAGCGAGCTCGAATAGTGGAAGCAAAGTAACAGTTTAATATTTATTTTTTATTTAATTATATATATGAAATTAAGATATTATGTTATGACTTAGAAATATTTACATATATTAACAATATTATTATTTCTTTTAATAGTAATTGGCGGCCCCCTTGCAATACCGTCCGGCCCACAGGTTGAAAACCACTGCCCTAAATAGTAGCCTACTGTAATATAACAGGCATTATGTAATGTCCGCAACCCATAAGTAAACTTCTCACACATTTTATGTTACATTATGGCGCCAGCATAATCTGAAATTATAGTTTGGAAATGGTTATGCAACGCTAACATGATGCTAACCTGTTGCTAACTTGATGCTGACGTGTTGTATCAGTAGGAAAGCAATAGTTACGCGAATCTGCGCTGGTTTGAATGGGCCGCCTCCAGTTTCCCCTTTGTTTTGCTTCCTCCAGCTAGCGCTGTGACGTAGGCTGACCCTAGTTACCTGTGGTTGGCCTGGCCATGCGTCACTCAGAAAACAACAGGCCAATCAGAAGAGAGGCTCATGAATATTAATTAGACAGGCCAAAATCGACCTGTTCTAAGCAGAGCTCCTGAGAAAGGAGCTGTAAAAATCTATTTAGATGGTTTTTGGTACTTAGACCGCAAATATATATTCTTAAGGACATCAAAACCTAAAATAAGACTCCAGAAAGGTGTATAATATGTGACCTTTAATGCATTCTTGCTGAATAAAAGTATTAATGTCTTTCAAAAAAATCTTATTGACCAAAATATTTTGAAATATTAAAAAATAAAATTCTGTCAATCAAATGTTAGCAAATTTGTGACACAAATTTAAATTTTCTAATTTTTTATGAAAATGTTAACCATAACCCCCTTTGAGGTCCGACGCTAAAGTGCCCTTGCAGTCCGGTCTGCCACAGGTCCGCGATTTCTGCCGAGGGTAGGGGTGTGCGATCAGGCCCGTAACCAGCTATGTTTCAGGTAAATTTTTCATGTTCAAAATAAAAAATTTTCTTTGAATGACTAATTTGCTGTTAAACTCCTCATATGAATGCCTGCATGACATGTATAATTCAGATTAGACAGTTTGCACGAATGTTTAGCGTGGTGATTATACATTTGACCGTTTATAGTAGCTTTGACACTTCATTCGCACTCCTAACTGCATTTTTTGCTCCGTGTGCCAAACTGATACAAGTTTGTTGCATTTGTGGTATTTCCGTCAACACATTAGTTGCCACAATCGGAAGTGCTTTGCTATCAGAAAACGCAGCTGTCAGTGTTATGCCTCTTAAAGGGATACTTAATTCCTAAATAAATAAAAGAAGAAAAAGATATGTAATGATTAACTCCAAAGCTGTATGATTTTCTTTATTTTGTGTATTGCAAACGTGTAGGCAATAAAAGTACTGTAAACGGTGAGTGAGGCTGTCAGTTTCCAACATTCTTCTTATGTGTTTCACAGAAGAAAGTAAGTCATGCGAGTTTGGAACAAGTCATGAGGGTGAGAAACAATTACATTTTTAAATATTATATTTTTAAGATGATGTCAACAAGGGTTGTCAACTGTGCTTAATATTTTGTTGAGATATTTTATTTTATAATTTTTTTTAAATATATTTATTTAATTAAATTTTTTTAATCAGTGCTTTTTATTTCTTGTTATATGTATATAGTATAATAACCCTATATTAACCTAAAAAAAACACCTGCATTTTATTCAGAGGCCCAAACTGAGAAAAAAATAAAAATATTTGGTGCAGCTGTTGTTATTTACATGGCCAAAAAGTAAGATAAAATTCTGATAGCTTGCAATGTAAATCACCAAGATCTTTATGACAGTATAGCAAACTAAAAATGCATATAAATATCAGTTTTCACTCTATAAAGTATCTTCCAATAATATGTCTTATTAAAGGGGTCATATGATGCGATGTACAGTATGTGGAAAATAATGTTTTTTTTTTACCTTTAACCGCATAAACACATTTCATTACACCAAATACACAAAATAATATTATTTTTAGCAAGATCATATGACCCCTTTAAGATTATATTTAAATGCTTAGTTTTAATATCAACGCTTAAATGTAGGGGAAAAAATATGTACTTCTTTTTGTTATACCTTGGCAATAAAATGGTATATTCATTTGCATGTTCTAATGTGGATATCACACATGAACAAGGTTGAAGTTTGAAGCTGAACAAAGTATGCATTCATGACCAAATTCGTGAAATGTGAAACAAAAGCCAATGTGTTGATTTTATGAACACTACACACCACCACAAGAGGGCAACATTTCCCCAACATCATTACAACAGGGCGTTAACAATCCAATGCACATGGTGTGATTAATGTAGTACTGCTAGATGCCCCGTAGTTTAATTACCTTCAGAGAGATCCCACTTAGTCTGTCTGAGTGTGAACAGTCTGGGTGTGATTCATTTGCAGCCACAGTTTTCCAGTAAACGTCCTTCCCCTGAAAATGACTCCTCATGGAAGCAAAACCATAATAAAGGGTGTCTGAGGGTGTCATACGGCCCCTCAAGCATTAGTAGTTTATCTTTTGTAGTTTATAATTTGAATAAAATACATTCTGCATTTTCTGCAATAGTGGTTTGTGTGACAAAGGAAGCTATTAAAACATTTCATGATTTTAACTTCATTTTTCTTCTAGCATATGAAAGCAGAGCCACACATTGTGAACATTTGTCTACACTGCATTTAGGCCATTGTGAAGGCAACATTAAAATAGGTCTGTCTTACCTAATGAAGATGAATGACAGTTGTCACTCTGCCCATCAATCACACTGTAAGCACATTCGAGACAAGGGGCAAATGACCCACTTGGCTCACTAAAACCACTCTGCTGGTATTCATTTACACAATATAAATTTACATAAGACAGTGTTGCCCATAAACATGGAATTTTTTCTATAGTTGTATTTTAATATGCACAAATCTCTTCTTGCTTTTTTAAAGCATGCCACACCACAAAAGCCAATAAGGTCCAATGTTGTTTTGGACCCCAATGACTTCAATTCTATGGACAAAAACATCTGAGACGATTAAAAATATATTATTTTGTGTTTCACAAACATAGAGGTATGGAATGACATGAGGGTGAGTAAAAATAATAAAATAATAATTTTAGGGTGAACTATCGCTTTAAGACCAGTGTTATTTACGTATTATTGATATACTACTACAGTTTTTGTTTTGAATGAGATTTTTTATTAAATTTTCATTTTGATTATAGTTAAGGTTAAGTTATAATTAAGGTTTTTGTGTTTTAAATTCTTATTAGTTTTTTTAAATGTCTATATAGTTTTTTATTAAGTTTTAATTTTAGCTTTAGTTTATTTAGTTCTATTTATTTTAGCACTTTAAATGAAAGTGAGAAATGTTGCCTTGGAAACTACACTGGAAAAAAAATGGTTTACAAACTATTTTCTCTCAGAAATACTGTTAAATATGTCAAACAATTACAAAGAAACGGCAAGTAACACATTGAATTAAATATGAAATTTTGAAGTAGAAAAACCGAAATAGCATATACTCCAAAAAATGTACGCCAATAACCGTTGATTTATTTACAACTTTGACGAAAAATCTATATATATACTGTATATAAATCAAGGTTTTGTCAAGTTTAATTTGATCAACAAAACAAAACTATATTTAGATGTAAGTGGTTATTTTTCTCATATCTGTTACCTAGAATTTCTCAGTTATCCATGCCTTTATATGTGAATATATGAATAATATATGTGAATATATTATATGATAGCGATCAAGATGTCTTCCTCTAGTTCTGTATAAACTGCAGCTATGGTAAACAACCTACCAACTTGCCCATCTCTCCCTAGATAGATCTAAAGCTTAGGATAAGAACAGCATTGCATGCAGACTGCTGAAACATTGGGGATCTTGTTAGTACAGAAATGGGTTTTAGGAGTAAAAAGTGTTGAGTGGTTTACAACCCTCCTCAAATTTCTCAGGGTCAGTGTATACGGCAGACCAAAACAGACACAAATGGCAGCCAGTAGAATTCAACCAAAGGCTATAATCTTATTACCATCAAACAGACACATCTATTTTAAAACATTGTTGTGTTTGTAGAGTACTGTGCTAGTGTATGCTAGTGTACTGTGCTAATCTGTATGCTAAACCTATAATCTATATATGCAAAAGATGATATTGAGCTCTGACAGCGGCAGTGAGGTGAAGACATAGTGTGAGCACTGCTTTTCATTACATAAATGCTCAATTCAGCACTTAGGCTACTGTGTCCAGCCATAACCAATGACAGCAGCGCAGTCCTCAGCTGCTGACCTCGGTAAACTGGCATTAGAACAAAGGCGAGAGTCACTCCTCGTGCACACACACATTCCTTAGCAGGGCTCTGAAGACCAGATTTGCTGTGCTTACACTGTTTTTAGTTTAGAATTTTTAGCAAAACTACACAGAAAGAAGAAAAAACTGTACAAATGAAGTTCTAAAGCTCTTTATTTTATATGTCATTTTGGTGTTAACATTGTTTTTGGTCCTTATTTTTTAGCAGAACTACCCAGAAAGAAGAAACAATGGTACAAAAGTAGTTCTAGAGCTACTAATATAAATGATTTTTATATGTCATTTCTGTTCTTACATTGTTTTGGATTTGATTTTTTTTTAGCAAAACTAGGCAGAGAGAAGAAATAAACTGTACAAATGTAGCTCTAAAGCTCTTCATATGTCATTTTTTAGATTTTCACACCTGCATTTGTGCCGTATTGTCACCTTGATTGGATTATAGCGGTTTTATGACTCAATATGCTACGTCGCTGTTGATTCAGTGCTCATATCGTGCTTAGGAACTGAATGAACTTAAATGCTCCATGCGGTAATCTGTTTATTTTCCCCACAAGTCTGATGTTTTGCTGTATTTTTTAATCTCTTGCATGATCACAAAGCTCTAAGCACTAAAGTCCAGTGTAGAGGAGGGTGGGGTGGACGAACTGGTGTGGTACGTAAGAGATGAACCTAAAGAGAGTGAACCAGGGTCATCTGATGCTCTCATTCGCTCTCACACACCCTACTGACTTTGTTGCAGGTGAACAGGCCTTAATCTAGGCCTAGTCCTGGATGTCAACACATTCGCACAGCAGGAAACCTTCTCTCAGATAGACCAGCAGATTCTTAATAAGGTTTTAGGAGATCGTCCGCAAGCTCATTATCTCTGTGGTTAGACGTATAAACGATCCATTTTAGGATAATCCAGCAAGTTCAAGCGCGAGGGATGAGGTGGCACGAGATAAATATACATGTGCGTACATACACGCAAGGTGCCATTAAGTCTTTTCCAGCCCCCACATTGTTGATGGACTCAAGGTGCTAAGCACGTGAGAATCATGTCTTCTCTTGAGACACTAATCTGGACTGAAGATGTCAGACTTGTGGTCATGCATCACTGCTGCATCAAGATGAGTGGATCTATGGGAAATCTGTCTTAGATGTTGATAAGTAGGCCACAGCCTGACATAAAGAGATCAACCCCCCTTTTTGTTTTGCTTTGTTTTTCCATTAAAGCTCGGAGGTCCCACCATATCAAGCTGTGAGAATTAGAACAGGTCAGTATCTATTACTTTAATGGCAGTTATGCTTTTTGGGTTTGCTTGCATTATTTGTTTACCTTTCCAGCTTCTTTTAAATGTAATAATATCATTTTCTGCTGGCTCATTTTTGTGCATAACAGTACATGTGCATAACATCATACTTGTGTTTATCTATTTATTTGCGTTACGTTGAGCATTGTGTGTGACGCCAGGTTGAATGAAACAGTTTTGTGCTACATTTCAATAAACAAGACTTTTTCCATAAGGGAACTTACAGTTTAGACACTAGATTTTAAGTGAACTATTTTTGCTCCAACAGCAAAAATGGTTCAAAACGAAGCCACAGCAGAATCAAACATTACATGTCACTAAATAACACACAGCAGTGGAGTTTGTTCCTAAATGTGTTTTGAACAAATCGGTTGAGTGAACAATTCAATGACTCACTCACTAAAAACAGTATTTTTTAACGAATCAGTTATCTGAAAATGCCTAAATTAATCACTTCAATTCACAGCCTGCTGAAAGAGTCACTGAAAAATCCCCACCACCAATCAAACTGATACTTACTGTTGTATCATGGGAGATTAAAAACTGAGGCTTTATTTAAAAGTTTATCAAAAGCTAATGCAAATAGAATATTATTTAATCTCAAACTGAATTAAACTATACCATTGTGGTTATATTGTATATTGCACTGATTGTAACATTCTATAAGTTTTATCTCTAGATTTTTATTTGTCTTTTTGAATTTCACTTTCATACTGCAGAAATGAAAGCTATTTTTTCTAGTATATTCACTTAATGTGCTTAAAGGTAAAGCAGCGATTTACTGTGCTGAAAGAACTCACCAAGCCATCTCCGCCATTGTCCTATTTCAACATTTTGTGATGCAGATGGAGAACATGTTGAGAGTCCAAGTGCCTCACAAGAGGAGAGTTATTCGCCTGCAGCTGAAAATCCACTCAGAAGAATACTGCAGGTATTGCATTTTCCCTGATAGTCAATGTGACCTTGGCTTCCATAAGCAACATCTCTGCCTTAATTCATCCAGCATCCTACAAGACCCATAACACAGTGACAGTTTTAAAAATAGCGTATTATGAGGAAAAAAGCATTTGTGGGCCAGGGAATATCTGTCATATCTACTGTCTGAACCCTGAGTGTTTTCTTCTGTAAAACCCATCAATAATGCACTTGTTCCATACATCGTTGCCCAGTTTTTCCTGTTATCATTTTCAAACAGCCTTTTGGATGGCACCTGCATGCCCAGCCCAGAACCAAGCGGAAGTTACTACAGTCTACCAGCTCTGGACCCTACTCCTCACTGACTGTAGCTTACAACGGCAAGATATGCATCCTTTTCAAAGTGAAGAGACTGGCTATTCGTTACAGAAACAACACTTTCCTGGACCTCACAGAGAGGGTATTTGGACCCAGTGCACAAGTAGACACCAAAGGCTCTGTTTGTACAAAGGAGAAGGCCACGTATGTAAAAAAAATTCTTCCTGCCATAAATTCAGTATCATGTATTGCAGCTGTCTTATTTACTAGTTAGAATGGTATAGTTTTAAGTTAATGATTATATATTTGTAGATTTTGAATTTTATACAGTGGCCCCAAAAAGTATTTGGACACTTAGCCATTATGTTATATATTAAAATAGAAGTATTAAACAAAATATTGAACCAAGTGGCATTTATGTAAGAGAAAAAAATAATTTTTGATTTCGGAAAATAATAAAATAATAAAACAGAAACTGTATTGTTAAAAAAAAAAATTGTATTTGAACACTCAATTCCATATTTTTAAAAAGAAATTAATATTTTTAATCAGCAAGGATGCATTAAATTGATCAAAAGTGACAATAAAGACATTTATAATGTTACAAAATATATTATATTTCAAATAAATGCTGTTCTTTTGAACTTTAACACATTTCCACTAAAATATTACATAAAAATAGTAATATAGTGTAACTGTTTTCAATGTTAAAATTACATTTTAATATTTAAAACTGTTATTTTAAATTATAATAATATTCATAATATTTTTTTACTGTATTTTTGATCAAATAAATGCAACCTTGGTGAGCATAAGAAACTTCTTTCAAAAACATAATAAAATCGTAAAAATTTGGAGGTTTATGCAAGTATATATAGTTTTTTTTAGTTGTACTGATGAGAGTCTTACATTTTTATAGGCTGTCTTTACGTTTGGGTGATGTGGAAGACATCAGGGCACTTGTCATCAGGTAAACACTCTTTTTCTTTTTTTTTGCACAAAACCTCACCGACTGATAATTACATTCAGTCGTTAATTACTTCCTCTTGTCTGTTTTCTGAAGGCTTCAGATGTCCAACACATATTATGAATCAGTAGGCCAGAACTGGTTCACTCTGGACAGCGTTCACATCCACTACAACTGGACTCATGAGGCCACGTTCCCACGGAGGTAGGTCTATGCCCCTGCCACCTATTCTTACCACTGCCAGCATGTCAGCAGCTTACAGAAATATGACACCCTATTGGTGCCCAGCTCCCACACTGACAGCTCGGCAAACTGGCACATCACATTCACAGATTTTCAGGTAGCTGCCACAAAATGTGCTTGAGTGTTATCAGAAGTTTACTAAAGTTCAGTATTACTTATTTGAAAATTTATAGTAAATGCTAAAAAAAAATGGTTCCATGAAAAACCATCACTGGTATCAAAATTGGTTCTTCTATGGCATCGCTGTGAAAACCGCCTTTTGAAATCTTTTATTTTTAAGAGTGTATAACTGTGTTCACATAGCATTGTTGCAATTAATTTGACATGGCATGAAAAAAAAAGCTAAAAAAACCCCAGCAAGATGTGTTGACAGCAAATCAGATTGTCCTTTCTGTCTCTCAATCGTACAACCCAAGAAAACAAAACTAAATGGATTTTTTTTTTTTTAAATACATATTTTTTTACTGTATTTTTGATCAAATAAATGCAACCTTGGTGAGCATAAGAAACTTCTTTCAAAAACATAATAAAATCGTAAAAATTTGGAGGTTTATGCAAGTATATATAGTTTTTTTTAGTTGTACTGATGAGAGTCTTACATTTTTATAGGCTGTCTTTACGTTTGGGTGATGTGGAAGACATCAGGGCACTTGTCATCAGGTAAACACTCTTTTTCTTTTTTTTTGCACAAAACCTCACCGACTGATAATTACATTCAGTCGTTAATTACTTCCTCTTGTCTGTTTTCTGAAGGCTTCAGATGTCCAACACATATTATGAATCAGTAGGCCAGAACTGGTTCACTCTGGACAGTGTTCACATCCACTACAACTGGACTCATGAGGCCACATTCAATGCTACGGAGGTCTATGCCCCTGCCACCTATTCTTACCACTGCCAGCATGTCAGCAGCTTACAGAAATATGACACCCTATTGGTGCCCAGCTCCCACACTGACAGCTCGGCAAACTGGCACATCACATTCACAGATTTTCAGGTAGCTGCCACAAAATGTGCTTGAGTGTTATCAGAAGTTTACTAAAGTTCAGTATTACTTATTTGAAAATTTATAGTAAATGCTAAAAAAAAATGGTTCCATGAAAAACCATCACTGGTATCAAAATTGGTTCTTCTATGGCATCGCTGTGAAAACCGCCTTTTGAAATCTTTTATTTTTAAGAGTGTATAACTGTGTTCACATAGCATTGTTGCAATTAATTTGACATGGCATGAAAAAAAAAGCTAAAAAAACCCCAGCAAGATGTGTTGACAGCAAATCAGATTGTCCTTTCTGTCTCTCAATCGTACAACCCAGGAAAACAAAACTAAATGGATTTTTTTTTTTTAAATACAAAAATTAAATATTATAAATTATATTTCTATATATATAAATATATATTTCAATACATTTCTTATACATCAGTCAACAGACACAGGTCTAGTTCATGTTTAAGTACCCAATAAAATTTAAATTTATTTATTAATCAAGTGAAGTCACCTTTATTTCTATTATACACTCTCAGAAAAAAAGGTACAAAAGCTGTCACTGGGGTGGTACCTTTTCATAAAGGTACACTTTTGTACCTTTTAGGTACTAATATGCACACTTTAGGTACTAATATGTACCTTTGTGGTACCAATATGGACTCTTTAGGTACAAAGGTGTGCCTTTTGAAAAGGTACCGCCCAAGTGACAACTTTTGTAACTTTTTTTCTGAGAGTGTAGCACTTCATACAGTACAGAATATGTCAAAGCAGGGGGAAAAAAACAGGAAAATAGCAGAATCAATTATGGAAACTGAACTATGGAGGCAGTTCATATTCTGCTGTAAAGCAGCTCTAAAAAACAATAGTGTCATTATTCAGATCAAGTCAGTTCAGTGTATTTTAATCGTGATCACGATTTCCTATTCTCTCTATTTATTAAGCATAATTGTCATTGATATTTGCCGACTGCTATTTATCCTGAAACGTGTTATGCATTTGGCTTTTAGATGTTTTTAGATGTTGCATTTAGATGTTTTTATCTAAAGTGACTTACATTGCATTCAAGGTAAACACTTGTTCAGTTCCATGCTTTACTGCCTCAGCTACAGGAATTAATTGAAAGAAATGTATTTGTTATTTTTAACTACAGTATCTCAGACAGAAAACATTTATTTTCTAT